AAGCAGAGAGAATACAGAACTTCATGGAATCCCACAAAGTAGAGGCTCAGAGAAGGAGCTTTTGCCCCCAAACAACGCTGACTGCAACTGACCCCAGAGGAAGGAAGAAAACCAGCACAACCAGTGCCACCCCTAACCTTGCAGTCCATCCAGAAGGATACCATGATTAATGTCATTGAAGGCCACTAGGAAATCAAAAAGAGCAACGATGGAAATACTACCCCATCACTCTCTCTCCAAAAATAATAAAAATAATAAAAAAACGTAACCAATTTTCTGAAAGATCCGTCCCATTTATAATCATTGGGTTTTTGCCCTGATAACACAGATCCCCGTGGTTGTTCTGGTATAGTTGTCTTCAATTCGATCTGGTCATCTTCTTTCGCAGGTTTCTTCTGGTTTGTATAGATAGTCATTTCCAATTTTAAAGTCATTGTTTCATTGTCTGGATTTTCAGTGGGCTGCACTTGTTGATCTGTAAAGCCCTCTATCTTGGTATCCACTTCTTCCACTCCTGTTGTTTTTTGAATTAGTAGTTTTTTAGCTGCAATCAAGATTTTACTTTGTGGCTCTAGGCTGCACTTTTGTCTTTCGAAAGAGCTTTGAGTTTTTCAGTGTTTGCAAGCATACTTTCAATAAGGATTTTAACATAGCCAAAGTTTTTTGCTCCCTTTCTGACATAGTTATAAACGGTCTTTCTAGTGAAGGCTATTTATTAAACAAGAGTCAGGAACCAACTGCATGCCCAGCTGTTCTCTGAGTAGAAACTCTCATAGATAATACCATGGTCAGGCCTGAGGGAATAAACTGCTCTACCAAGCTTTGCCACAAGATGTCCCCAATAACATTTAGAGTCTTTTTCAACTTTCTCCTCCATCTCGAGTTTTCACCAGGTATTTACTGCTCTCCCAAAAGTGAGTGGCCCAGCACCCCAAGAAACAAAGTTTTATGAGACTTGGTTTAACGTCAAGATTCTGATCGACAAAGACAAATAAAGCAGAACTCCAAGGCTTGCAAATTCCTCAAAGAACATGTTTATTGATACAGAGTATCGGTATTTCAAAAGTGAAACCAAGTCTGAAGAGATGCACAGCAATTCCCCAATACAAAGTTAAGAAAATCCCACCCCCAAAACTATGCAAGCAATTATGTTTCCCCACTCAGCTTGTTGGTGGGCTTTTTATGAAACGCCCAGCCTGCAGTCTTGGGAGCAGCCGTGACCTTGGTTCACATGAAAGTCCAAGAAAGTCTGTTTTGTCTAGCGCAACACAGGAAATACTAGTTATGAACAGGCTACTTGACAGTTTTGCTAGTCTTGTACCAGAACATTATTCATTCTGTGGACATGTTATATAGTATGCTGCTTGTCCTGTTTTATACTTTAAAATTGGCAATAAAATACATTCAACAAGCTGTTTCAATGGGATGTAACAAAATTTAAGGTCTTACAAAAGAGAACCGTTTCCAGATGACAGTTGAGAAAATAAAAACTAATTCAAATCACAACATGACTGGGATTTTGCAAACCTTTGAAATATTCTGAAGTTAGGGTGTCTGCAGCATCAGATGGCTAGCATAGCATATTTTCTATATTCTAAATCTGACAACAGCCCCCATATTTTTATAGCTGTACCCACCTAGCTTTCCAGGATTAACACTTAAGGCTGGTTAAGACTGGCAGAGATCTAGAGCATAGGTAGCGAGTGTATTTATAGGCATAATTTCAGGTGAGGAGCTTATATAAGATGAGGTCATATTTGTCTAGTAGAATAGCTATATTACCCATTTGTTCCACATCTGAATGGCTACAGAGCAATAATCCAAGGAAGAATTGATAAAACCAATGAAGAGTGGGATGCTTTGGTTCAGGATGGATCAATTTTACATACGCACGCACAGACACACAATTTTACTGTATAACTATTGATATTGTATTTACTATATCTTTTTAAAAGAACCTAGAAATCAATTTGATTGCAGCAGAGGATAAATGTAACAATAAGACTTTTTTCTTTTTCATATTCTTTAGCACAGCCTTTTTTTTCTGTTTGTCCTTGGAGTCCCAAGGATTGTTCTGTAAGTTCTGATTTGATCTGTTTCGCAGCATCAGCATCCATGCATCATCAGTTTACTATGATTTTAAGAGAAAAAGGAAGATTTTAATAGCTTGAAACAAATAACATGCAGCAATTCTAACAGAACGTTTTTTATCCTATGAATAAGCAAGCTGCTTAAAAGTTTAGAAAAAAATTGATGTTCTTAGCACCCACATAATTTCATTCAATTCACTAAAATACATTTTAAATTAAAGGAATTGCTCCAGGAGTGAATGACACTCCTATGATCTTCCTTAGTTACTGGCATGTGCTGCAATATCTAAAGATAGTCTGCATTAGTGCCATCTTCAGTTCAGGAGTTCAAAGTCTCATTTTGGCATGGATCCCTTTCAGAGTCTGGTAAAACTTATGGACTTCTTAGAAACATATTTTTAAATTCATACAAATAAAGTAAAATGAGTGCAAAATAAAATGCATAAATCAAACGTATTATAAAAGAGACCAATCAACACTGACTTAAAAGGCATATGTGTGTGTTTGTGTGTGTACACATTGGCAATTTCACAAGATATTTTAATGGAAAGAATCAAATAATGCATATATACACTTTTAGAATAAGATTCCTAATCTTAAGGGGATGGAATCAGAACTGGGCCATCAATCTACAAAGCAAGTTTGTAGTTTAATGGATTCATCATCGCCAAGTGGATCAGCAGACTTGACCTTTGTATTTTACCATGGTGTAGTACCATGACGTAATAGAAAGTATTACAACAAACCAGATCCTTTTGGTCTGGGCAGTGTGGAGAGTCAGGCTTGCTAAGAGAGCAATGCAAGGAGCTTAAGAAAGAAAAGGAAATTGACACAGAACTGGAATCAGTTAATGTTAACAGCAGAAATGAAGCATTAGGTAGTATCACAGTGGGTAACAGCAAAGAATTCATAGGAAAAAATGGGAAGTATGCAATAGTGGTCAGACGTGTAGGAAGGGCTTAGTTCAATAGGATTTAAGGTACACTCCTGACTAGATTTCAGATTCCATTAATTAGGCCCTGATCACCCCTTTAAGTTCATTAACTGATAACACAATTAACATGTTGCAAGCAACCCTGGCAAGATAATCTAATTTCAAAAAGAACAATTGGAATTGCATAATAATAGTCACCAGTTTAGCCATGCTCTTTACCAACACTGATGAAATAGTACTTATTCTTGATGTTTGAAATCTATGACTAAGGCCAGCAAAGCTGGCAAGATTTTGGAAGGCTATTCCACAAAATGGAAAAATTAGAACAACTTCCTGACAGAGCCAAGTCAGAATCTGAAAAATTGAAGGGTATAATGGAAACGGAATAACTTTTTTTAAAAAAAAATCCTTACTATAGATTAAAACACTTCTCTGCTCTAGAAAAAAAACATTGGGAAAAATGTGTATGCATATGTATATAGACACATTTGCAGTAAAGATGTGAAACTAAGAAAATATAATGGAAAAAGGATCTCTCACATGAAAACCAGGACACAGAAAGAGGGGAAGAGAAAAAGACAGCATATCTAAGTAAGTTAGGAGAAATTAGAACAAGAAGTATTAATACCACTCTTTAATGCCTTGGTAAGGCCACACTTGGAATACTGCATTCAGTTTTGGTCACCACGATGTAAAAAAGATGTTGAGACTCTAGAAAGAGTACAGAGAAGAGCAACAAAGATGATTAGGGGACTGGAGGCTAAAACATATAAGGAACGGTTGCTAGAATTGGGTATGTCTAGTTTAACGAAGAGAAGGACAAGGGGGGACATGATAGCAGTGTTCCAATATCTCAGGGGCTGCCATAAAGAAGAGGGAATTAAGCTATTCTCCAAAGCACCTGAAGGCAGGACAAGAAGCAACGGGTGGAAACTAATCAAGGAGAGAAGCAACCTAGAACTAAGGAGAAACTTCCTGACAGTGAGAACAATTAATCAGTGGAACAGCTTGCCTCCAGAAGCAGTAAATGCTCCAACACTGGAAGTTTTTAAGAAGAGACTGGACAGCCATTTGTCCGAAATGGTGTAGGGTTTCCTGCCCGAGCAGAGGGTTGGACTAGATGACCTCCAAGGTCCCTTCCAACTTTACTACTACTATTATTATTATTATTAAGAGAAATCATTTTAGGAGAAGCAAAATAAAAAAAAATGCAGCAAATATGCTATAGAAAAGCAGGGTGGGGGAGGAGAGAAAACACTGAAGGATGGTTTTACTTCTGTCTCCAATCCATTTAGCTGACTGAAGCAGGTGGCAGGGAATCTGAAAATGAGGCTTTTATGCTTGTTTCAGTCAACTTCCTATACGTTCCAATCCCATTTTGTCCTACTCCAGCTAGCAAGTGCTTGTGTAGTCAATAACAAATGAAGAGTCTCTGGCAATATATTGGGTTTTTTTTTTATTGAAGCAGTAGTCACATGATGGTGCATCTAGCTTTCTAGTATATTGACAGAACAGATTTGTCTGGTCATCTGACCTAAATTTTTGCTTGTGCAAATAAACATCACATTTGATAATACATTATCAAGGACAAAAGGTCAGTTCAAAGATAAACAACGTGTGCTGATACGGTAAAGGGTGCCTGATACGATAGGGTGCCCTCTTAGAAGCAGCACCTGATCTAAAGAATGCTTTAGAAAAGCCCTTAAGCCCACCCCCTGGGTGAACTGTTCAGTAGAGGCTGTGGCTTCATGAAAGGCTTCCCTTCTTTCCCTACCAAAACAAACACAACACAGGACCTGTTTTGGCTTCTAATAACATCATGACTTAAAGAAAAGATGCCAATTCCTTGTCCTTTTATTATTATATTCCAACCCACCTTCTGAGTGGAGAAGAGGGACAGGTCTAGAAAAGAGGCCACAGCAAAGAGTGCAGGTAATAGACAGGAAATATTTTGAAATGAAGACCACACACTGTAATTTTTAAATTTCATGACCAGGCTAACCTACATTTTATTTAATGCAAATTACAGTACCAGTTAACTATTTCCAAACCAAGTCACACAGAACATAATGTATTTACAAAGGAGCCGAAGGGAGGAGATAAAATAATGAACATTAAGCATACATACCACAAAAAAGTTTATACTTAAAATGAAAAAGTAATCAGTCACAGAGGCATTCAAGTAGTAATAACGTTATACATGTTTTGCTTCTTTGAATCAAGACAGCTTTGCGTGTGTATGCAATAGTTTGTATACAACCCATAGTCCATTATATATATATTTAGAACTCTGCTTTTAAGATGAAAGTGATCACGCTAATTGTGTGTACAAGCCCAAGTGATCAGCAACATAGTAACAAATGCAAATTTTACAAGCAAGCGTATTATTTATATATATAAATGGTTTTTTGTGTTTTTCCCCAAAAAACCAAGAACAAACAACACTAGAAAGAGACATATCTCAAGCTAACCCTTTAGGTACCAGTCATTTTGCTTTTATTGCCTTGTTGCAAAATGAAGCAAGGAATTAGTTCCTGTAGAAATATTAGGAATTAAAAGGAGTTCTGATGAGCACATCTGAAAAATATCAGTTCTGGGCTAAACAACAAACTGTGCTTTTTATTACTGGCTTTGATCTCTAGAGGCTAAGATATTTAATGGAGAAAAATGCTGATAATATTTTTAATTAGGGATTGTTTTAAATTAACACTAATTACAGACATCAACTATTTCTTGGCTTATTCATAGAAGCTTATTCAAGCACCAGCTAGATGGCATTAAAATAATATGTTTAAAAAATCCATAACATTGTTTGAAAGGACATACTTCAAAATTAAGATTACTAGTGCCTTTTTTCTGATTTTCAGTCAATGACACAGAGAATATCATTAATGCCATTGTAGGATTATGCACAACTGCAACGCAAAGGATAGATTGAGAGACTATACGGTACTTCATTTAAAAACAAACCATAAAATTTAAATTCCAAGTGGACTGTCAGAAACAAAATATTTTCACTGACTTTTATGTCACCAGAAAAATGGCATCCTCTGTCTTACTGGAATGAACAGAAGATGGTTACAAAAAACTTTTAAAAAAGCAACCTTTGGTTTGATAAAAAGTTCAGCATTTTGTCATTAAAGAAAACCTCATGTAGAATATTAACAAGTTGAATATATATGAGCAGAGTTTTAAAAGCAAGGCCTTTGTGCTGAGCACAAAAATTAATGTTCATAAAAAATTGGCAAGTAAATGAGAACAGAGAACAGAGTTGCTAATCTATGGAAGTAGACCAGGGGGAGGCAACCTTGGCTATTTTATGACTCGTGGACTTCAACTCCCAGAATTCCTGAGTCAGCTGACTCAGGAATTCTGGGAGTTGAAGTCCACGAGTCATAAAACAGCCAAGGTTGCCTACCCTTGTAATAGACACTTAATACCACAACTTTCTTTCTGTCCAAAAAGGCTTACAAGATTTTTAAATCTAAAATATACAGGTGTATGTATTTGATCCCAGTACTTCCCTCCCCAGTTACAGCTGCTTACTTATTTTACAATCTCCAATTCTGTCTCTGAATAAACAACATGACCAAGCAAAAGCTCTAAGCAGCAGTGATCAAACAAGACCTACCGAACAACATATTGGGCAAGAATCTGTAAACGATAAACCTGTCATTTTAGATACCAAAGTGTTATCTATATAATGAAACCAGTTACAGTGGAGATATGTTTAAATAAGTGTGCAAAAATACTGGGAAAATGGTGGCTATCCAGATACTGTTGAGCTGTAACTCGTTGCTATCAATTCAGCAGGATGAACACAGCCATGGATGTTTGGACACATTTTTTTTTAACGCTGCTACTGACCATGAAATGGCTGAAAAAAGGGAAGCATATCTGCACATATGAGGCATCTGTTACAAAAAGGAAGGAAAAAAAATCATGGAAGCAAAGGCACTCCAAACTATATAGATACACTATACATTGCTAGAGTTATTGTTACAATAATACAGGCCAGTTATCTACTGTACATAGTTAGAACTATATGGCTTTAAAAAGCTTGTCTACATTTTGTCTGATTATTAAAACAAATTAACTGCCCTGAATGATAACATTTGTTCATTAATAACAGTTCCTGTGTCCACGTATTTACATATAAAGCAATACAACTTAAAAGTTTAAGAACTAATGTACAAACTTGAATTTGGTGAGGAGCTTTTGTCAGTTTATTTACAAAAAATGATACTGAAACACCTAGATCTAGATTTATATAAAATTTTGCTTGCAGTTCTGCCATGATCCTTAGGGAAAAAAAAATCAGGATCCTAGTTTTTATATATATATACACACACACACGCACACAGACACACATATTAAAAAAAGTGTTAAAGCTTTTAATTTTTCTCTCCTATTATTTAAATCAATGAAAATAATACAAAACCTCCTAAGATCTCCTCTTCCTGAATTCAGACCACAAAACTGAGCTTTGACTATGATGGCCGCCTGCTCAACATGAAAGATGCCAGTAGGCTCAAGCCATGCAGCAAGAGAGTCTTCCAGGCCTCTCACCCATTATGGGTTCTTTTCTAGTTCTCTAGCTTTAGTTTTTGAAAGAAAGCTTCCTGACTGTCTAGTTTAAGTTGTGATGCGTATGGTCTTTAAAGTCATCTGATTTTTTTTTTTTTTTTTTTTTAGAGAAGCCACTACTCCTTTCTGGGCATGCCCCATTCTCCATTTGAGACTCTACTTTTCTTCCCCCAATGACTTCACACCTAAGAAATGAATATAAACTACTTACTCTCCTTGGTCCAAATCTAATTTCAAAAGGTTCACCAATGAAAGATATTGCAAGGAAAAGCAAATCTGATGCAAAGCTAAGTAAGTACAGCTATCAATTCAAAGAGGAAGCTAGTCACAAGAATCCATTAGTGCTTTATGCATTAGTAATGACATTCTTTCTCAAACTGTTCAAGGCATATTGCTTTCATGTCACAGAGACCTTTGGCCACAATTTAATTATCCAGAACAAAGACGTAGCAAACAGGCATTTCTGCTCTAGATGTAAAAAATAAAAGTAGCGCTATATATATGCACGAATGCTTGTGTGCACATATAAAACACAAAATATATACATACACACATACTTGACACTTGGAGCAAGTGAACTCTTTTTCTACAGATTAATATTCTCCACTGTGACAAAAGCAACTTCTGAAAACCAGTAAACAAAGGTTAGAAAAGAAGAGGCTGAAAACGGTGAATTTAAATATAAATCAGGATTTAATTCTACCCATTAAATAAATCTATCAACTTAAAAGCCCTGTATGCTATGAAAATAGTATGTCCATTCACATTATATCCTTGCATCTTTCCCCCCAATGTTCCTCCTCAAGAACAGAATCAATTTAGAATCAAAAGGAATGAACAGAATGCAGGAGGATTTTTGTATTTTCTGGCATGGAGGGACATGTACACCTAACTCCCATCTACTGAGGTGTGGGTATAGATTAGTCAGGCTTTCTTCTATGTTTTCCAGACCCTTTTTTTTTATTATCCAACTCCTAAAACATTGGGATAGGTATATTCAAGCCAATAGTATAATGTCTGCAGAATTCTTCAGAGGCAAATGAAAATTTAAGATGATTTGTTCCTTATTATTTCAAGCTTTTTTTCACACTGTAACTCCCCCCCCCCTCCTTCCTAGTTCCCTTTGGCAACTCAGCATAGTGTAGCACCTCATCTTGTTCTTCCTCCTCACCCAACATGAAGACATTTAATTCCAGCAAATAATACTCAAGATGAGCAACTTCTGTTAAACTCCTAACCAAATTCAAGTTGTGCACTACACCAAAAATTGAAACTTCACTTAAAAATACAAGGCTTCAACAGAATGAGGGGTTTCTTCCTTTCCTTTTTTTCTGATGATAACGGTGATTGTTGGAGGTCGTCAGATAAGATTCCTGATTCTAAAGTACACAACAGCAATTATCTGAAATTAGAAGATTGTCATGGAAAGAGAAATTGGTGTTCTAATAATCCATTTCCCTTTTCCCCACCCCACTTATTCCCCTGCCCCAAAGAGCCTGCAGAGTAAGTATACAATGAAACTGGTTTTTTACAAGGTTAAATAAGAACAACAATTTTTTAAAAATCCAACACTATAATGAACAGTTTTTCCCCTTCTTTTTACATTTTCTTTCCAAACGTGACCAGTATTGCTGAGTAAGACTCAAAATTACTGGTGATTGTTCCTGTACAAGCTGCTGCTTGAGATCATTTCAGGTGGAGTTGGAAGCTGATGTTGAAGCTACATTATTGATCTGAACTCGATCACCTGCACTGGCATCTGCAAATATCAGAAAAAAAAATATGAAAGAGCTGGTTACATGTCAATAATATAAACTTTTATGGACAAGTTTCTATTCTGCCTTTTGACTCAGGAAGAATAAATGAACTCAGGAAAGACCCAACTTGTCATTTAGAAATGGTGTATTCCAGAGGGAATGGCATCGTTGGCATCAGAAGTTATAATTCAGAATGTTTTTCATCTGCTATTGGACATGCTCCACACATTTTATTTATTGAAGAGTAATAACAATGTTTAACATTGGGCTCAGTATGGCTGGAGGCTAATATGACAAAACAGACAACTACTAAATAAGCAAAATTATTCAGCAAGAGGGAAGAGGCATGGTCCTATTTCTGTTTGACAAGGTAATTTTTCAGCAGGCTCACAGAATGATTTTTTTTAAAACAAAGAGTTGAAAAAGGAAAATCTGTTTGAGACACCATTAGAAGATAAACCAAAAATACTAATCAAATCGATGCCGCATATTAAACAAATAAAACAATAGAGAAATGATCACCAACAGCAACTTTCCCCTATGTTCATTCATTGTGCAAAGCAGATAGTGAATAAGACAGTAAAGTGGGTTTTAACAATCTGGCTAGCTGCTGGTCTGCTTGTTATCTGTCGAAAAACTGAAAAAGATAATCAACAAACTCAAGATACATGTAAATGATACTGATTTCTATTGGGCTTTTACTTTGACTATGATAGTGAAACCACTTGAGACACCTTGATGGATTACCTCTGCTGGAGCTAGATACAGAGGAGAAAGTATTTATCCATTTTCTCCTCAATGAGTTTTAATACTGGTTGAATCAACAGCTTCACTATCCCATTGTTTCTGGGCTCAATTCAGAGTTGCTTTTGGACTTCACAATCCTAAATGGCATAGTAGCCAAGTATATGAAATACTCAGAAACACTTTTTTTTGTGAAACATGATTTACTGGACTTCTTGTCATGGTTGTGATTGATAGCCATAGACAAAAGAGCTTTAGAGGACAATATATTGAGTATGTATCAATGGTTATTAGTGGTGGAAAATGCATTAAACACTTCCAGAGATTTGCAAATTATTTGACCTGTGTGTATAAAGATATGTAGGAATGATCTTGGTATACAGGGCAATGAGACATGTAGAAAGGAATAGCCAGATAAAAGGCAATTTAGCCTGCAGTGGGATTGTAGGTGGGCCAAGAGAAAACCCTAATTCCTTGGGTTTTAAAGAAGATGGAGGGAGGGATGAACTTTCAGACTTGCCAGATTATCTTAATGTAGCCTTACAATAAAGAAGAATTAGTTCATCTGGTTGTGTTTCCTGTTTGGTCTACCTCATCAAGCTGACACTAGGGTTCCCTTGAATGAAACTCAACTCCTGGTGACTTCATGAACATGTCCATACAGTTTTCTCAATACCACTGTAGGAGTGGTTTGCCAATGCCTTCTCCCAGATACGTTATTTGCCTTTTAGATTAATTCATTCAAGATAAATTGCCTTTATACTCTTTATACTCTGTTAAAACAATATAACTATGCAGGCCCCTCTATTCCTTTTCCTCCCATTCCAAGTCTCACTGATGATTTTCCTTTCTTGAATAGGTTTAAGTAATCATTAAAAACTGATAGAATAAATTTTCACTCAGTCAATTATAGAAACCATTCTTTATATCTCCCAAGTCCTACTCTGCTTCTCCACAGTGGCAAGGCAGTGTATGTGTGTCCTATTCCAGTTGCCCAGTTTAAACAAACGGATTCTTTTAGGAATATGGAAAAATGCTGTACAGGGATATCACATGAGTATCAATGGCAAAGACATCCTTCATATTACATGGAAGAAAATCACCCCTGTATTTTACTATAGAAAACCATGTGAATGGTCAGATGAGAGAGGGTACAGGTCACAGATGCATAATGGGTGGAGAAAGAGACTCCCTGGCTTCTTAGGCTATAAAAGAGCCAGTGGGAGATCTGTTCTTTCACACTGGCAATTTCTGTTAATGTAGTCTGACCATAAAGTACAATTAGCTCATCTGGTTGTGTTTCTTGTCTAGTCTACCTGGGAAAGCCGGCAGTTCCTCAGACTGGATGACAGTGAACATGTTACTGAAAACAGCTGAAAATATTTTGGAATACTAATAGAGTTTGTCAGCTCTGCCTGGTTGGCTTGACGCCTCACAGGCATCCTGCCATCAAACAAAGAAGGGGGAAGAAGGATGTAAAGGAGAAGGATAAAAGGGCAACATAGTTTTGTGTGTACATGATAGGATATCAGGAGGGGGGGAAATGACAGGTGATAAGCACCAGAGCAGCCGGATCCTGTTTGTACAGCATCCCACACACTGAGAAATATGCAGATTTCCCCCCCAAATACCTCAGAATTCTCAAAACATCTTGGCAAGTTCCAGTTGGCTGGAAATGGACTGGTCATGGGGGGAGGGGATGGGCTGGGGGCAAAACTACACTTTTTTTCTATCTAGTGAGCATGTAGATTTCAGAGCTGGCTTGATTTTACTGTAACCAACATCCTTAGTAAAAGGATCCTTTGCTTTAACCAAATGCTTTAGCCAAATGGCTTTTCTTTCCTAAGGGATTGGATTGGGGTAGATGTAACATTAAGCCAGCTTTGCAATTGTGGACAACCCAGAGAGGAAACTGCCTCTACCGTGGGGACCATGCAAATGATGTCGGCTCAAGGAAGCAACCTGGAATGGAATGGAACGGGACAGAATTGAATCTGGAAGGGACCTTGGAAGTCTTCTAATCCAGCCCCTTGCTCAAGCAGGAGAACGTATACCATCTCAGACAAGTGACTGTCCAGTATCTTCTTAAAAACCTCCAGTAATGAAGCACCCACAATTTCTGAAGGCAGGCTGTTCCACTGGTTAATTGTCCTCACTGTCAGGAAGTTTCTCCTTAATTCCAGGTTGCTTCTCTCTTTGATCAGTTTCCAACCATTGTTTCTCACCCTTCCCTCTGGTACTTTGGTGAACAACCTGGCCCTCTCTGCCTTGTGGCAGCCCCTCAGATACTGAAACACTGCTATCATGTCTCCCCTATTTCTTCTTTTCTTTAGACTGGCCAAACCCAAATCCCATAGCCAATCTTAAGTTTTAGTCTCCAGACCTTTGATCATCTTAGTTGCTCTTCTCTGAAAGCAACTAAGAGAGCGAGGCCTGGGGGAGAAGCATGCTCGAAATCTGCTCCTGGAGGGCTGGATCTATCCAGATGGCTGGGAGAGAATGACCCACCTAGACCTCGATGGTTGGGAAAAAGAATGGGAAAAGAAATGCATGGGAGTAACATTCACCCATGGGGACCGTGGCAGCTGCTGGTGAGAGACCCGAGTGGAGCTGCAGGAATGGAAGAAGAAACGAGCGCAGACGAACCGGAGCAAGAGGATTAGATGCTGGAGCAAGCCATAAAGTTCCTGGGGTGGGCTTTTGGTAGTCTCAAGATTCGAGAAGTCCTAGCCCGGGTGGCACATCTGCTGACGAGCCATCTCCAGCCATGGCAAGCAAAGGGGCAACTACCTCTGCCATCTTAGCAACCCCAACTGCCCCAATGCCTGGCCCTGCAGCCCGGTCTGCAGGAGCAGCACCAGCAACACAGAGAGGGCGCAAGATACCAGTCCTGGAAGTAAAGTTCAACAGAGACCACGAGAAATTGGGATTCTTCCTGGCACAAGTTTAGACATACATGCAAGAGTATGGTCCAGAAACAGCCACCGAAGGGGCTAAGGTGCTGTGCATGACCATGGCGTTAGAGGGGGCCATAGTTGAATGGATGGTCACCCTCCACAACAATGATACCCTGGAGCTGAGAAACTGCTTCTTGGTTGCACTTAGAAGGACTTCTTAGCTGATTGCAAAGCCAAAAATTGCATAAAGGGCGCAGGGAGCTGGCCAAGTACACCCAGGAGTTTCGCGACCTGCTTGCCAACTGACTGGCCAGAAGACATCTTGATCAGATGCTTCTGAGATGTTCCATCAAAATCCTACTGGAGGCCAAACTACCCAAACCTAAACTGTATTCCATGACCCCTAGGGAGCTGGAGGAATTGTGGACTTTTATAGACAAAAACCTGAACTGTGGATTCATCCAACCCGCAAGACTGAGGGTGGCTGCCCTGATACTGTTTAGGGGAAAGAAGGACGGTCCCTTCATGTATGAGTGTCTTATTGTGGGCTCAACGCGGTGTGTGTGGAAAAAGTTTACCCACTCCCCCTCATGAAGGACATGCTAGCCTAGGGGTCCCCAACTTGTGGGCCATGGCCCACTGCCGAGCCATGGCCTGTTAGCCACTGGGCCATGTGAAAGGCTGGCCAGCACACATGTACACGCACTTACCCTCCCACTCGCATCGAGTGTCGCACAGGTGCTAGCACTGCCATTTGAGGTGCTCACAGCCCCTTTAGCACATGCGTGTGTAAAGGTGTCTGCCACTCCCTTTCCCACTTGGCTGCCAACCCAAAAGGGTTGGGTACCTCTGTGTTAGCCCATATGGCCAAGGGAAAGGTCTTCACCAAGTTGGATTTGTGGGAGGTATACTACTGAGTGAGGATCAAAGCAGAAATGAGTGGGAAACAGCTTTCAATTGCCCCTTAGGATGCTTCCAGTTCCAGGTCTTCCCTTTTGGACTGCAAGGGGCCCCTGCTGTGTTTATGCAACTAATAAACAAATTACTACATGAACACCTGTATAAGGGAGTGTTAATTTACCTGGATGACATTTTAATTTATACTAAGACAATGGCAGAACACATAAAACTACTCAGAGCCTGCTCATGAAGCTTTGAGCAGCCAAACTATCCAAATGCGAATTCCACCGTCGTAAAATTAACTATCTGGGCTACTGCACCTCCCATGAGGGAATAGAAATGGATCCCGATTCATAATATAATCTATGTTTATATTATGATGTTTGTTGTCTAGTATGGTTAAAAGATTGGATATGTCAGTACCCATTTCTTTGATGGGGTACCTTTTCCTATTCCTTTCC